AACTCAAGGTCCAGAAGAAGACTCTAAGCTTGTAAATAGCAGAGCATATAGTATACAAAATGAATGATTAGTATTTAAAGACCCATATTACACTATTTTCTGATCTGTTTTGATAATAATTGACCATGATGATAACTTTGAACTTGAACCATTTGGATCATTTCAGCCTTGGAATTGCACATCTCTACTGAACTAAAGGTAAAACGTAGCTGATAACATTAAAACAACCACTTCATGACATCACAACGTGGACAGAGCATTTTGAGCTTTGGAGATGTAGACAGACAAATAATAATAAAGGGTTACTCAAACATGTATGAATGAAACAAAACACAAGAACACTGTAACATGGCATAAAGGGATAGTTCAGGATTTTTCACATAAATCTGTATGTCATCCCCATGAGCAGTGTCGTGCATCCACACTGACTAACCCCCGACAGCGTCCGGTGAGTCGAGATACTGGCCGTTTTTTGGTGCTGACGAAAGTAGTCCTGCAAGTTGTCTGGGGACTGTATAATAAAGCGTTTTTTTCTTCTCAAAACAATATGTGTTCAAAAGAGTGATACATTTGCATCACAAAACCATCGTCGCATAAAAAGTCAGACCTCATTATCACTTTGCACTATTTTCTTTCCGTTCGTATCACTGCGCGCTGCCGCCAGGTGACAGCCGCGTACGGATCCATCACTGTGTTTACTGCTTGGAATGTTAGCGACAACATGTCTGATTACAACACAGATAATAAAGACTTTGCCTTTACCACAAAGCCAAGGGGAGATCTTTATGAACCTGAATATACTGATGCTGAAATTCACCAGATGGAGTTAGAACGAGCAGAGAGAGAAGAGAGACAGAGAAGTGGTACAAGTTGACCAAGTGAGCGACAATCACCATCACGTCATTTAGAAACTCGTACACAGTGAACATAGAGCCTCCACTGTGACTGAAGCATGGACGACTAATAGAAACATGGAATCATCCACACGTCCACGTAGCTGCTGCCAACAGTGTAAGAGACATTTACAATAGTAATAACAGTCGACTTATAAAGTTAGGTTTTGTAGAAGCTTCACTGGTGATATGACACTGAGTGATTTACTGCACACAGAGTTACAGCTGATTCTGAGTCTGTTCTCTTGTAAACACAGCAGCACTTCTTCGTTCTTACCTGGTTTGGTTTCCACGTTGAAGCTTAAGTCAAGAAGCCAAAGTTTCCTCAGCGCAAAGTCCATGACAGGAAAATAGTGAAATGTGTGTGGAGATTCAGCCAGACTTTTGTTGTTACAGCCTGGAGAATCAAGAGTTGATCATGAGTGGATTCGTACGCGGCTGTCACCTGGCGGCAGCGCGCGGTGATACGAACGGAAAGAAAATAGTGCCAAGTGATTATGGGGTCTGACTTTTTGGAGGACGATGGTTTTGTGATGCAAATGTATCACTCTTTTGAACACAGATTGTTTTGAGAAGAAAAACACTTTATTACAGTCCCCAGCCAACTTGCTGGACTACTTTTTTCAGCACCGAAAACGGCCAGTATCTCGGCTCACTGGACGCTGTCGGGGTTAGTCAGTGTGGATGCACGACACTGCTCACAGGGATGACATACAGATTTATGTCAAAAATCCCAAACTATCCCTTTAAAGCTCACATGAGTCAATTTTCTTTTATCACTTTTTAAAATATTTGACTTAATATGCATCTGGAGTTCGCATCGGGTGGATGTTACCATATCTGTTCATCTGAGCGTGGCTGGCTTATCACGCCACATCCCCAAATCCTTTATCATAATCTTGACTTTTAATGCAGTTTCTCTCGGCTGCTTTCATCTGTGACATAAATGTGTTATAAAGGCAGGATCTGAAGTGAATAGAGGGACATTTATGAAAAACTACAGTGGTCAAGGTCCTGTATGCATGTGAGCTGGCTGCAGAAGCGTTTGGGACTCCTTTGCAACATTATGGTGACTTTGTACTTCCCGCCCACAGTCAGAGAGAGAATGTGCTGCAAAAATGTCATTTAGTCTAGGTCTAAATTGGATATGTATTTTGGGAGCTGTTGAAATAGAGAAGAGCACAGTTGTTTGTTAGTTGTTGTTTATTTCGAACATGCATAGAAAAAAACAATAAAGCATTAAGAAAACCAACCAACATCTCCATTTCTTTTATACCTTACAAAGACTTTATAATTAATTTTGATCTGCTTTATATTTACGTCTTATTTTAATTCCACTGGCAAACTGCTCAATATTCCAATTAAAGCACAAAAGGCTGAGGAATGTATAAGAGTTTTGTTATTTTACTTATTCAAAAGCATTAGACATTTCTTGCCCCTGAGTCTGTATTTATAAGAAATTTAAGTAAAACTTAAAGTCTTTGCAAAAATGTGAACTTTATTTAATGAAAAAATGGGCATACAGTTCCTAAAACTTAAACACAGAATTCGGCATTTCTATATTTGTTACTATGCAATGCTATGTGCCTAAAAGTAACATTTAAACATTTTATTGTATTATTTTGTTATGTCTTTTGTGGTTTTGTGATGAAGGCATAATGTCTGTTAATATTATTGTGAGATCCTTGGCACTTTCAAAACCAGGTGTCCCTTCTCCAGCTCTTTTGAGGCTGTGTGAAGTCAGTACCTTTTTATTCAGAAATCTGAATGAATATATGCATTAGCTAAATACACACTCATGACGTGCTTAGAATCTCTTTTCTTCTGAGTAAGTCCCTAAACCCCACATCCAACGCCACGCCACAAGAGACCTGTCTAACTGACAACAATTAGCCCTCTCCATTCAAGGTAATTGAAGCCATTTACATAATACAAGGCTGCCGTCACCATTCATCTGCAGGACAATCGGAGCAGGTCTAGGCGTACGCTCACAACCTGAGATGAAACCAGCCGTGCCTTGACAAATGATCCCAAGCGCCTCATAACAATAATGCACCCAGAGCTGGTGTCACTCATAAAGATGTCCTCCATTGGGCTGTATGTTTCTTTGTAAATTAAAATATGAATTACTTTTGCCATTGTAAACAGATGCACACGTTGTCAGAGGTGTGTTTACCGCCCATCCCATTACACACAGTTACTCCCAAGGTTGAAAACAAGCGTCCCCATTTTGGCGGAGCTAAGATATGGTGACAGATTTGTTGTTTGGGTGCTGCTTTTGTCTGGGAGCTTTGGCGATAAATTAAATAGATAGCTTGATTAAAAAAAAGCTTGCTTGACAGTTTTTTTTTCTTTTGACAAGTGTCGCTGCCATTGCCCATAGCAGCCCGATCTGCTCTTTGGTGATTTATGGGATCAGTTTGTCTTGTTATTAGCATGTGTTAGATAAGATCAGATGTGCACATGTATTTCAGAAGTGTGCGGGTGATGGGTGCAACATTGTACAAGCAGCAATCAGTCATTCATCACATTGCATCATGTTGGAAATCATTTGATTGTTATGCTTTGGAGTGTTGATTACATTTGTGCAATGGCATGAAAGGGGTTTATAAATGCTCTTGTCTGGGACTCTGTTGGTACTCACTTCATTGGGGGTAATGGAACACTCATGTCAGCTGTCAGCAGACTCACCAGAGGCGCACTCAACTCAGCAGTCAATATGTTCTCTATCTGTGAGCTCTGCTTACAGGGTGCACACTTACATGTCTGTGAGTAATGGTATCTCCCACCTGCTCTCATTCTCATGCTGCAATATTTCAGATGCTGCTGATGGATGCACTTCTGAATTATATCAAATTAAATTTGAGTTATGACAGCAGGCACATTTGTATCATCGAGTCACAAAAGACATGCAAGATTCTGTATTTCAGATCTAATGTTTCATATTTACAGTAAATCCTTCTCTTTACTGGTTGTTATTAATCAAAAAAAGAGGCAATGGAAAATTTGACATTTGCCATGTTATTGTTAACTCATGATCAGTCTGCTCAAAAGTTTGCCTGGCAAGTTCAGAATTAGATATCAGTGTGGCCACGTCTGACGCACCTCCAGGCTCCAGCACAGCCATGCAAACAGATGAGTTCATTTAAGTGACGCATGTGAATCAAATGAACTCATTGCTCATCTATAATATTAAACAAAATAACATTACTCTCCCCTCAGATCAACAGAGTTTAAGGCTTCACTCTTTGAATCTATAGAAATCCACAATGTTTTTCAGTCTTTTTTCTTCTATATTTGTTTTGATATGGATGAACCATGTCACTGATGGGCTAATCCTCCTGTCAATCATGCCCATCTGATCTCAAGGAAATTCAAACGTGACCAAACTCACATCTCTTTAAAGTAGTGGAGAAGGATGTATTATGGATCACAGGCAACCCAAAAACTGCTGTAGTCAATTTGTATTCTTTGTAGTGACTTTGGAGTGAAAAAGTGATGTCTTGAAAATCACTTTATAATCAAATAAATATTTTTTAATGAATGAATACTCAGGTAACTGTGAGGTCATGATGCGCCTCTGACCCAACAGTAAACCTAGAGCAGAGGATGGATGATTCCATAATCCCAAACTGTACAGAGTTCAGAGAGAGCTTTTTATGTTTGTTGGAAGCGTGATATTCCTCACGGCTTCTTTTGTGAGCAAGTCAAGCAAAACCTCCAAATGTCATTCAAGACAGTTTGCAACAAAGCACAGGGTACAATGGGCCCAGTCAGGCTAATATACTTTTTCCCTTTATAACTTCCCATAGGAGAAGCTGAGGAAAATGCAATTTTTACAAAGCTATCCTTCCATTTCCAAAAAAGCATTAGGTCTCCCCTGGTGAATTCCAGTGCAGAAAAACAGATAAGCAGTTTGTTTAGTCAAAGACATCAAATGGTGTTTTCTGAAGTGACAAGGAGGGGATGAGATCTTCTGCGATATGGTGTGATGGATGTGGGTTAATCATAAACCTGCCAGATGTGAGGAGGATTTGCCCTCATGAGGTAAATGTGGTGCATCTCTTTAATTGAACCTGCTCTCTCTCTCCCTGTCTGTGTGTGCAGTGAGGTTCGACGATTGTCAGCGCAGTCGAGAGGTGGGCTTTGTCAGCAGTGACCCCAGCTTCAGCGTGCGCTCAGACGGGAGTGTGTACACCGAGCAGGAGGTGGCCAACCTGTCCGAACCCGTCCAGTTTATGGTGACTGCAAGAGGAATGCACGATCCACACATCTGGGAGGCAACAGTCAAGCTGGCACTGGCCGGACACCCACACACTCTGCCCCTGAGCAAGGTAAAGCGAGGTAGCGGGCAACATCAACACATGCATGTGCTAACAGTAACACCTGGATTTGATTAGATAAATCTACCAGAGCTGGAGAAGAATTAAAAGCTTAGATGGATTAAATGCAGAACTTTCTGTGACATCTATAATGACCTACTTCAGACAGGTCATATATTTTGGACTTGACAAGATAAGCTACAACACACAAGAAGTGTCATCTAATTTGTATGATACCAAATATTTAGTGGAAAAGTTCACAAATTGAATCTTAAGTCTTAACATTATACTCCAGCATTACCAGGCAGCACACGCCCTAGCTGAAGTTTATGGGCTGTGTTACCAGCTTCCACTCTGCCTCTGCACTCCATGTAGCAGCACTCAGCCATTATCATTTCTCCTGCACTACTTGTTGAACTGCGTCAGCCTTAATGCTCTGTCATGTTTCTAATCATGACAAAAAGCCTCGTCCCCTGTTGCTAAAGCGATTCAGAGTGGGGGATTAAAATTCTGCCCACTCCTGGTGGTGCAATAATGGAGACTGGAAAATAATTGACATTGATTGAGCTAATGTTCCACCCTGGCAGCGGCTGCGAGGGCCAGGTGATCTAGTTTCACTCTATAATTATGTTCTCTATATCGGCGAGCAGGAGAAAGATTCAATAAATGAACAAGAAATAAATGTGTTCCCTCTAATTACCTAGAAACCAGCTCTTAAAGGTATATAATTCTGATTTCACCCTGCAGCCTTGTTCATATGTACTTGTCAACCTCTTTAAATAGCCCAGGATTCCAGCACTGTTCTTCTTAACTGGAAATTACCCACATGCCCAGAGGCAGAACTTCTAACACTTTTTTTTTTTAGTTATAGTATATAGGCTTAAAGATGAATCGTCCTGTAGGGGCCAGATTCTAAAATATCAAGTGTTTGAAATGCAATACAGAATGAAATAGATTTTTATTTGTTCCCTCTTGGAGATTGTTCTTCAGCAATACTCAAAAGGTTTGCTCTAAACCACATTAAGACAAAACAAACAACAAACAAGATGGTTGACAGCTGAGTAATCATCTTATGAACACTCAAGCATAATATAAACAGTGGAACAAAAGAGGACTTTTGTCCATTTTTTTTTTCTGAAACAGTGGAGGGCAGAAGCTTGAACCGAAGGGCAGGAGAGAACACTGATTGCAAAGAGGATGCCTTGCATCAGAGAATAGCCCTGCCTCGCCTGAGGTCCTCCCAGAGTACAGCTCTCTGTGCTGAGCAGCCTCAGCAGTTTGGAGGCCAAAGAGACCACTTTCCTCAGAGCCCACTTTTGAGCTTCATTAGCATTTACAAACCATTATAAAGTTATTACACTTTTGATAAAACTAGAACAAAATATGAGGAGCACACCATAATTCTTTTTTCATAGCCTGATTGGAGCTTGCTGGTTAGGGACTGGGATTGTTTTAATCATCCACAAATTTGTCATTTTAATGTAGTTTTCTCTTCTACAAATGCCAATAGTGTTTTAATCACATCTTTTTCCTGGTCAAACAGTTAGCACATACAGACAAAAGCAAAACTACTGAAATGTCTTTTGACAGCATTGGCAGGCTCTAAACACTGTATTTTATAATGGCTATATGAAGTACCAACCATTGTTGTGACCATCCCCCAGGCCATACTTTGGAATTCACCTTTACTATTTATTTTTCTATTTGTGTCTTTGGGTTATTTTGGACCAAGTGGGATGCTGTAAATGTAGGAGTGCAAATGGAGTGCAGTATTAAAGAGGCTTGAGGCAAGGTCAGAGCTGTGTGGACAAGGTTGTTTTCACGTCACATTTGACTTTCTGTCCTCTCTGTGCACTCACTCACAAAGTTCAGTCTCTAAACTGCAATGTTTACTGAATGTTAAATGCTAAACCAGAGAAAGAAATACACGAAGAAGAGTGTGTGAAACCCTAACTACTCTATCATGCTGTGTATACAATATTCTGTCCAAAGGTAGTGATCATGGACCACTCCTCAACGAATGAGAATTTTATCCAAAGAACTATCCATCTTGATAATATGAAAGAATATTGAAAAAAGCAATGTTCATAAAAAAGCCCCCCCAGAGACCAACAATGAAGCTTGACTTAATGTCAGGAGGAATGTGAAGAGGAAACCAGGCGTGTTAGTGGATGGGAGAAAAACAATCAACCCTATGACAATGCTCACATGTTTATGCTTATACAGTTTGAAATGTACATCTCACCATGTTGAAGGCTTTATATTATACAAAATGGATTTTTGTGAGATATAAGCCATATGATAATGTCATTACCTCATCAAAAACATACCTGGAGTTGTGTTTTGTTTCATTCACACATGTCTGAGCAATCCTTTATTATTAGACTGTCTACATATGGGCCAAGTAGAAGTAAACAACAAGGCCAAAAATTCAAGTTAATTCATCTGATATAAAAATGTATTGAACAGATACATATGTACTCTAGTTTATGAAACTGTTGACCTTTTTTCTGTACCATTTTTGGTTCTAAAGTTCCATATGTTTAAACAGACCATGTATGAAACATGGAACAAAAATTATTTCCCAAATTTCAAAGACCTGCAAATAAATGGATGTATTTCATCATATCTTGTGTTATTCCATCTTTGAACTGTTGATGAAGGTACGTGATTTTTCTAAAAAAAAATTAAAAAAAAGTATTTAAAATGATAAAAATTTGCTTGGAAGGACTGACATATTTTATAGAAATAGTTTCCTTTCATTTTGAAGTAATATTAAAGTATTGGGAAGAAAAAAGTGACAAATGATGTAAAATCCTGCACCTTCTACTTGTTTGCACAATTTTCCCTCCCTTACTTTTCCCTCCGTTACCATGACCTTTCTTAATAAAAAATCTCATGACTCAGAAAGTAAGAGGTTTTTCAACCTAATCTTGTACCATATGGTAGAAAACTATATGAAGCAAATATTCAAACCAGTTTGTTAAGGATATGGAAGTGAGAAACACTAGTTATCACTGTTTGGATTTATTGTCCAAAAAGTGCTGCATATTTCATTCCCTCCGTTACTGACATGAGTTTTTAAATTTTTTGTCAACAACTTGAAAGAATCTCACAGGTTTAACTTGACCCTGTTGGAGTGTAACTCTTTCCTACATTCTGATACTTTACTTATTTCAATAGTCCCTCTAGTTTCTGAATAAGAGACATTTGAATGTCAAAAATCTGCCCATTTCCCTCCGTCATCACTTGACCAGACCCATATCCAAAGCTCAAAATGCTCTGTAATGTCATGTAGTGATAGTTGTCAAGTTAAAAGCCACCTTTTACCTTTAGTTCAGTGGAGAGCGGAGATGCCAGGGTTGAAATCATCCAAACAATACTAGTAAAGGTGTACGGAGTTTAAAAACACAATACACTTCCTATATCACTGCATGACATCAAAAGGTGGAACAATTCGAGAGAAGAACTGAGCCTAAATATGCAGGATCTGTGTGTCAACTATATGTGAACAAAACAAAACACAACTCCAAGTATATTTTTGATGAAGAAACAGCATAGATCAGAAAATTGTGTAACATGGGCCCTTTAAGGACTATTTCTCACCCTTTGCTTGTGTAACATCGTCATCATCATCATTTCACTGCACAAAAGTTGGTTTAAATGCCAGAGTTTGCTAGAGTTTCCCTCAAATGAAAAATGTGCCTGTTAATGCTGCATATCTTCTATGTTTGTGGTGAAATACATGGCCTTGTTGGATGTTTGCTCTTTGGCCTTGTGTACCATTAATCATTCCAGTTCCTTATGCAAACAGCAGCACACTTTTCAATTTAAAACCTATCAGCAGTGTTCTGTTTTTAAACTCTCTTCATTTTCCGTTTCTGACAAACAAATAACTAAATGAGAGATGGTTATCTGAGCCTGTCTTTGTTTTGCCAGTCGATGTTTATTTTCAATAGGCAGCCATCATAATAATACCACGTAAACAGAGCTTATCACTGTCTAATCATGTGGTAGCAGATAGAAACACATTTGATTATTTTTCCCAATAGCAATTAAAGGATGAAAACAGAAACACTACTTAAAGGTGCACTGTGTAACTTTTCTTGTGTACCTGCATGTCTATATGGAGAAGTCATTGTCTTGCCTGAAATGTTCTACTGTGAATCATTAATGTATCATCTTTTATTTATCCAGTTCGAGTTTAATTGGTATTTAAAAAACACATTGGTTATAGTTTAAAATCCATGTCAAGAATGAAGTAATGAACTGTGCATTGTTGTAGACAAAGCTAACCTCCAGATGCCAGCCCTGGGGTTGAGGGGGAGTTGGCGCTGTAGTGGCCCCGCAGAGCGCTCTTTGCCTGGGAGCCGACTGCTGCCACCTGGCCCTGCGCGCCTCTGGCTCTGGGTCTCACAGGGGAGCCGCTAACTGACTCCTGTCATGTTCTTGGCCCCCCTCACAATAGGAGCCATGTTGCAGTGTGGAATGACATATCCACTCAGCATATGTTCATGTTGGAGCCACACGCATCACTTCCCACGCATGCACATTCACAACTGTAAGTTCAAGCTCCTATAAGCCCTCATAAGCACCTTGTCTTGTGCTGTTCCATCGATTGCATCTTCTTTTGTCAATTTTTCTATTGAGTCTTGGAGCCAGCCACCTTCATCTGCTACGCTGCTTGAAAGTGACAAGTAAAACGTCTCGCGATCATTCTGTTCACTCATTTTCAGCCCGGCTGTCTTTTCTTCTTCTGCATTTCCATTCTGGCAGTGCTTCTAATACAGTTGAGCCAATCACATTCCATCACCTTGTTGTGATGTGTTGTTCTTTTGCCAAACTGATTGGCACACAATACTTGCTTTTCATTGTCAGAAAATACAACTGAATACTTTTGTCATTGTCCAACTACTTTAAAATTCTTGATTGTAGTTGGACAGTTTCTGGAAACATTTAGTTTTGATTATTTAACTTTTTTGTTGTTTTTAATGCCATTTTAGTTCACTAAAATGAACGATTGTGTGTATGTGTTGGTTTGTTTATTTTTTTTCAGATTGATTTTTGTTTTTCATGTATGTACTTAGAGATGCACCAATCCAGGATCTTCTGTTCCAATACTGATGTCGACACTATGATTTTAAGTATTTGCCAATACCTAGTGTCAGCTAATACCAGTGCCAGAGTCTCAAAACATAATTTACTTCAACAAACAGCATATCGTAAAAATGATCCAAATGTGTTTTGTAAGTTTGTTCATGAGAATTTCATGGCTGACGGTCCTATATTGTTCTAAATCAACTTCTTGTGGCTATCTGGTTTCACGTTACATCCTCTATTTATCTCCGGGGGTAATGTTGGAATTGTTTAGCGTCATTTGTAGAGTGTTTGTTTTGCCATGTTTGTTTGTCCGGCCTCTCCAAACATAAATCCATGAGTACACAGTGGTGCCCACCTGCTAGGCCTGGCTCTCGCTCTGCCTCCCGGTGCCAGCTGGTACCTGGGTGTTCTGGATGAGTGCGGCTACAATCAGACTTATCTTATCTGGGAGACACATCTGCTCCCCTTTCTGTCCTTCAAACAGTCACTGCCTTTCACTCACCCTTCTCCTCTGTGGGATCAGATAGATGCACAGATCAGAGTCTGTATTAGGCATGTTGAATCGGGGGTCCAGACCTAAAGGCAGTGTGGTGACTTCATGAGCAGTATGAATTAGGCATTTGTAATTTGCCTTCACTTACCAATTTGGAGTTTGTTTCACTTCAGAACAAAATCTATGTCAGTGTTCAAAATAAATGAAATAATATCAGAGACAAGACCATGTACTTCTACTTACACTTGTACCATATTAAGAATGTACAGATCACCGCAGAACAGGAGAAAGCAGCCCATGTGTGACAGATAGTTTACTGTGTTTTTTGTTTTTGCCTATGCTATTTATGGGTTTTAAGTGATGGCAACTGTCCTCTGTGGTTATAGCAATTAAGCAGTTCAAATCTAAATATTATATCTTTTGAATGGAGAATGTCCTCACCAAGTCCTTCAAATCAGGAATTGTTTGTCTGAAACCCATTAATACCATGAAATAATAACCTCTCTGTGCAATACTTTAGGAGCACTGTGTACTTTGTAGCTTTATTGGTTTAACAACCAGCGAGTTTACTGTGACCCCTTGTGTCTCAAATATTTAGAAATTGCAAGCTATCGCTCTGCGTTTGTGATATGGATGGTTGAGCTTTTTTGTTATTGGACTACATGAAAGTGTAGGTTGACAAATCAATATGCAAATCCCCAGACCAGGCTTTGGTGCGTGCACGCTTGTGGCTCTGTCCTCTGAGCTGGTGCCATGAGAGGAGTTAAGACAAGGGTGTAGTTTACAGCACCTGTCTCGCTCTAAGCAGGTGTGTATGGATCTAATATGCATGTGTGTGTCAGGTGGGATGAGCCTCTGTGCTGCAGGTGACGTGGGCACAAAGCCAAATGTGCGTGTGCCTGTGCATGGAGCAGAAAGCACAATAGGATTAGCTGGATTACAAAAATACAGGCGTCTTACAGAAGGACACCAAAGAAGAGAAGGAGGAAAACAGCTCTCATACCATTTTACACAGCACCTAAGCCTTGATTTACAACATAACACTACAGGTGCTGTGTTCAGTACTAGAGTCACACCATTTTCAAAGGTGGCTATTGTAATCCGCTCATGTCACTGCATATATGCAATGTTAAAATATACATCAGTGAAATTCAGGATGCATGTGTATAAGCAATTGCAAATGATGTACCCTGCCAGGAGCAGTGAATGATAATTGCTGCCTGTTAAAACTCCATTTAAAACTCCAAGTGACCAGTAAGAAAAAGAGTTCATGTCAAGACACATTCAGACCCATTACAAATTCAGCAGGTACAGAAGCCTTTTTATGCAATGCCAACCAACTCACTGAAATGTTTACTTGGAAAAATGTATGTCTGTAGTTTCCAATGGCCACACTGTTTTGAGGACATCTACTCTTTGACTGTGATTTTATTCAAAGAAAAAAGTGACACTGCTCCATATTTAATAGATTCATCTTTCAACCTGTCGCTGCAGACTTGAAATGAAAGGGCCTTATTCCACATGCAGTGAGAGGCGTGTGGCTGTGATATGACATGTTTGGATGTCTTCTCTCTATGTTCAGGTTGGAATAGAAGAGATGCTGTCAAGAGTGTGGGAGTCCCAGCCCAGAGTGATCCGGTTCCCACGGAAACATCAGAGGAGCTTGGTGGCCAATGGGCTACGGCGACAGAAGAGAGACTGGGTCATCCCACCAATCAATGTGCCTGAAAACTCCCGTGGACCCTTCCCTCACATGCTCGTCAGGGTGAGTGCAATCTCCTATCTTAAGGCTTTCCAAAGGTTTCATTTACAACTTCATAACATGTATTTCCTGAAAGAATAATGTTTTGAGACTTTTAGACATGCATGGTGATCGGAGAGGTCAAGTAAAGCTTTGACCAACCCACTGAAGTGCCACAAAATGTGAATAGAGTGTTTTTAACCCAGTGAACTATTATTATTATTATATACCTTTTTATGTTTCAGACCCCAAAATATCTATGCAATGTACATTTCATATATACTTTAATGTGCTTTTAATTTATCTGTATAGTGGGTGGTAGAGCACCCAAGGCACCCAGAGTTTTAGCTGCCAGTAGACCTGTCACTTTTCTTACTATATCGACATATCGTTCAATATTATGATAGATGGAACAATTTTTTTTACGTCAACATTTATCGTGTGTACATTTTCTTTGCACTTCTGGAGAATTTTTTGTTATTTTCTTGGCAATATGATAAGATTAAAGTTGTAGATTGTTGAATTAATAACTTCTATGAGTGATCACAGATGCAAACTATACCAAAGTGTTTCATTTATCATAGCTCATATTATTTCTACAATATTATAGAATAGTTTCAATATTATTGTTTAGCGTCTGTGATTTCTTGTGACAATGTGGAGTTTTATTATTTATTTATTTTCATGCAACAATAGAATCTTGTGTCTGTTTTAGATTAGAGAAATATTGCATTACATCAAACTACTGGAAGAGGATTCAGCCAATAGTCAACCATGTTACTCCACTACAACAACAATACTAGAATCAAAATCTTAACCATTATAATAATTATTTGTCACTATTTTATATGAATTCCATAAATCAGGTTTTTAGGCCCAAGCCGAGCTTAGTAATTTAGGTTTTCCGCAGAGAGGTGAGAGGCAGGATCTTCGTGACGGCATTTTCCCCCTTGAGTTGCAAGGGATGGTGAGGGATTATAATGGCACGTGCTGCTTTTATATATATATATATATATATATATATATATATATATATATATATATATATATATATATATATATATATATATATATATATATATATATATATATATATATATATGGAAGGTTTCTTAGCTACTGAATGTTGAACAATTGTATCCACATACACTCTACTCCTTTCAGCAGTTAGAGCTGCTCATATAAAATGATTGAGTGTGTGCATTATAAAATATAGTCTGGGCATTACATAAATCATTACTTGCATGGACCAACAATCTGGCTAGCTTCAGATAAAACATGTTTAAACATACCTGTACCTATCCAGCTCAGATAATACCACAGAATGGAGAACACATGTGCCACTATCTTGTACAAGACCTGGAGACACTGGTCTGTTCTATCAAGCGCACCTGACAGGCTAATAGTACTGCTCAGGTCTCCCGTTTAGGTGGGGATGCAGAGCGATTTGTCTGCTGTGCCTTTAGGCACCGCAGGCAGGTAGACATACAGAGAAATAATCCTTGCTCAGAAAATCCTCCACCCTGTGTTTGGTCTCAGTGGAACAGATGTGGGGATTACTCAGGGCACTATCTCCCTGCTAGCTTCTCATTGTCTGGACATACATCAAAACATTGTTTATACCGAAGGACCAACAATACAAATCTCAACAATACCACTGCTCATGAAATAGTGCATATTTGGCAACACAGTATATTAAATCATAGTATTAGTATTTTGAACACTGTGAACACTGACAGCTGTAAATCAATAAACTGCCTCATACGGTACAGGAGGAGCATGTTCCTTGTGAAAATGCAGCCAATGATTGCACTATATGGAACTAGAACTATAACGATACTTTGCAGTGACATCATGATGGGGGTGCTCTACATGTAGGTATATTGGCAGAATGTTCACCAGTTACCATGGAGACACAATGCACAGGATTGCAAACACTGTCAAAAAAGTTTTAAGATACTAAATGGATTTAAACAACACATTTTTGGAGCCTGTGATCAATATGAGCATTCACAGTCCTGTTTAGGAGTTTGATTTTCAATTAAAAAAAAAAGGTGAGAGTGACTAACTGAAAAACTGATGGTGAATGCTAACTAGCTTGGGACTGTAATGTTATTTAAGAGAGACTTGCTCAGGTTAAAGTCTGACAAGGCTCACATAGAGCGGTGCTTAGAGTTAGCATCACACACTTAGGGAATATTGATGACATCAGTATCAGTATCAATAGGCGAGTTTCAGCTGACGTCATTGTTATTAAAAGCCCGCGTTGCATGCTGGGAAATATTTTGGTCAGAGGCAAGAAACACGATAGCATCAAACACAGTGCGTAACCTCGCGTATTTATCCCCGATAATGGTAAATTCCTGCTGCATTATCGGATGCACAAATAGAAGCACGGAAGAAGGAAAATGTCTTTTTCGTATTCTGAGTGAAAAGAACCACTAACGGCGAATTAAACGACTTTCAAACATCCGCAGAGCAAACGTAGAAGATCCTAACAAACCGTGGACTCCAACAAGTTCAACAACACACATCTTGGAGGTTTTCATCTTTTCTGCTGTGAATGGCCCAGGAGTTTCCACCAAGTCATTGTGGATATCGCCCAAGTGAATATTTGTCCAGGTAGTTGGAGATTTTGACCAGAAATTTGGTTTGGTTCAGGTTCTGTCGGGGTTGAAAAGGGTGATTTGGCTCCATCGATGTTTCTGGTCAAATGTTCTTGGGTCCTCTGCCGTTAGAGTGGATAAATAACCGGGATCAATACCCTTTACGTGTTTTCTCGCTCCGTCCATCATGTTGAATTAGTGTTTCTTGCCGCCGACCAAAATAATTCCCAGCATGCAACGCGCGCTTTTGTCAACAATGAAACTCGCCTATAGAAGAGAACTGTAAAAAGAGAAATTTTGCGTACACTGTAAATGATATAAATGACCAATAATTGATATTTTATTACCAGCAACTACAAGTGCATAAAAATATACTTTCTTCTGGGCTGCCTGACTTCTGTAAATGCCCTCTGAGACCGCCTGTTATCAGCTGCTCTGGCAGACAGGCCGCTTTTAGTAGCCTTTTACACACAAACATACTCACACGCACATGCACACACACACACGCGCGCGCGCACACACACACACGCACACATCCGCCTGCCCTGCACAAGCCCCTCACGCCCATTTGTCATGTGAGGTTTACACGGCCGGATTACGGAAATCTCCTTTCACTAGAGTGTTGTACGAGAGGGCAGATTTGCTCCACCGGATAGACTTGCCCTCACAAAGAGATGACCACTGGGGCCGTCCGGTGTCCAGGGAGTTCTCTGTCATCCCCTTTCACATGTGGCACGTCTCATGTCAGATTAAAACTGTCACTGTGTATGTGGGACTCGTACTATTAGCCTGTGAAGATACGACTATGACCTGTGCTCTCTGGGTTCCATTCTGTGAATAAATGTTGGTATGAATCAAGTTTATTGTTTATTAGGTCCATATTGCACTGTTTTCTGATCTGTGTTATAATGTTTTTCCTCATCCAAAACATACCTAATATTTGTTTTGGTTCATTCACACATGTTTAAAAGTGCACTATGTAACTTTTCTCTTGGAGGGTCCGTCACCTGCTTGTTTCTATGGAGATGCCATTGCTCCGCCCGGAATGTTCCACAGTCTGACATGAAACAGCTCTACTTTACATATTCAATTAACAATTTAATTCAACATTCAGTTAAAAATGACTATGAGCAGACTTACCTCTTCACAGATCTGACCTATAACTTGGTCTGTTTTGGTCTCCATGAAAATAGAAAGGTTTCATGCCATATTGTGAAACATTCCAGACAAATCAATAACATCTCCATGGAGAAAATCATTTGAAGGACCACCAGAAAAGTTATACAATGCACCTTTAACACTCAAACCCTGCAAATGTAGGCAGGTTCTTCTCACAAACAGAAGTGCTCTGTGTTTAAACTCTTTTCACCTTCACTTTCACCTTCACTAGAATCATTTGGATAATTTCAGCCCTGGAATTGTCAATCTCTGCTAAACACAAGATAAATGGTAGCTGTTAATTTGAAATGGAACTTTGCATTTTTGCTATAATCTACATAAAAAATACATAAATAAAGTCCACCGCTTCATGACATCACAAGGTGGAACAGAGCATAGACCAGGAGTGCTCAATACGTCGATCGTGATCTACCAGTCAGTCGCCAAGGTCGTGTGGGTAGATCTCCGTGTCTCGTCTCAGACTCGTGTTTGGACTCAGTCTTGTCTCTCACTCAAGGTCTGACACTCAACAAGTGTGATCATATTTCATTACGGCCGCTGCTGTTGGTAATAAACTTGTAGCGGGTGCAGGAGCGGAGACTCTACGGCGCATCACAAACACACACGCTCCCTATGCACGGCTCGTCTGCAACAGCGTGTGCCCTCGTGTACCAGCGTGCATCACAGGGCAGGTTCAACTTCCTAAACATCCTACCTGTCCATCTGCCTCACGTCAGCACGCCACCCCTCGCCTTTTCACGCTCTCGCTCCTTCCTGCGTACAGCGAACACAAGCCCCTCCCACAGTGCAGCTGATTAGAAGAGCAAGACCAAACGTGAAGCAAAAACCAGTCTAAATTTGTGTTCCAGTGTTGACACAAAGCAGGTCTACAGCATAGAGCGGATCTACGGAACAGACCTACTGCCACATTTGGCTGAAGTTTGTCTAACAAAAGTGCACAAATGCATCTGTGTTTGTCACGTTTGGTTTGGTAAATGTGCAGAGGCTGGTAAATGTCACTGCAAAACCAGAAAAGAATGTAACTCCAGTTTGGAACTTTAAAAAACAGGTTTAAAAATCTTCACTTCACTTTTTTCATAGTTTTGTGTAAAGTGCCAGAGGAAGTTCTCTTAAAGAAGGGGTTCTCAAACTGTGGGTGAGGGTCCAGTGTTTCAGTGCAGTTTGCTTGGCTTTGTATTAGGTAGATCATTTTGACTTGGTCATTTTGTAAGTAGCTCACATGCTGAAAAAGTGTGAGCA